TTCACATTTAAAATGTAATGTGAACGTTCACATTTAAAATGTAATGTGAACGTTCACATTTAAAATGTAATGTGAACGTTCACACAAAAAGATCAGATTTTTTCAAAAAATCAGAACTGAGCATTAAGACCTGCAGTGTGAACGTAGCCTATTTCAAAACGAAAACTAAGAAAATGGTGTAAGTGCTTTTAAAATCAGTCCTAACCTGACTAATAAATTTCTTCATAATGATTTAATCAAGCAAACAGGTAAAAGCCTCCCATTTGATAATTATTGCATGGACTTATTTTTTATTCTGCAATACTTTGTTAAAAGGTTTTTAGTTTGTGAAACTTTAACAAAACACAAGCAACACGGCAATACCCCTTCCCACACAACCCCAAAAGTAAAAAAAAATCTAGGAAACCAAAACAAAACACTGTTGGCTGACAGTTTGTGAAATGTAACAACCTTTTACCACGACCGTGTGGGACCTAATAGAGACAAGTAAGGCTGCGAGATATTAACAAAAGTTTTATAATCACTTCTGAAAGAGTAGGTACGGAAGAGGATTAGGGCCACTGAAAAAATTTAAAAAAAGAATTCTGACATTTTTCTCTGAATTCTGATAAAAACGTCAGAATTTTGAGATTAAAGTCAGAATTTTGAGATTAAAGTCAGAAATTTGAGATTAAAGTCAGAATTTTGAGATTAAAGTCAGAATTCCTTTTTTTATTTTTTCAGTGGCCCTAATCCTCTTCCATAAGTAGGTGATCTTTTCAAGTGGAGCACAGCTATTCATCTCTGAGAACTACCTGAAAATAGGGAGTTGGGAGTCAAACTTCCACAGAATATCTAAACACTTTCTGGCTCAATTCAAATTTATTTATAAAGCACTTTAAAACAACCACAGCTGCCACAAAGTGGTATAAAACCAAAACATAAAAAACACGAAATGATTAAAAACATTAAAACCAATAAAACAACAGTAACAATGAAAAAGTAGCAATTCAAAACAAGTGTCAGGCTGTGCCAAAAGCCAGGGAGTAAAAATGTGTTTTTAGAAGAGGTTTAAAGGTGGACGGTGAACAGGCTTGTCTCACACAAAGTGGAAAACTGTTGCACAATCTTGGAGCAGCAACACAAAAAGTTCAGTCTCCTCTCAGCTTATGTTTGGACCTCGGCACCTCCGGGAGCAGCTGATCAGCTGACCTGAGGCACCGAGGACACATAGAGCCAATTCTGGGCACTTCTGTTCACTTTTTCTTAATTATGATCACAGATTTGTAAAGTCTCCTAACCAGCATGTTTAGAGATCTAATGGAAAAGAAAACCCTCATGCCAGAATGTTTCACCTTTTTGCATATCCACGTGCTGTGTAAGAATGAGCCCTCCTCAGTGCCACATGTAAAACAGATCATTCTGATGTGTAAATGTGGAATGTTTGTGGCGTAATGGAGGCTCAGTGCAGGAAGTTATTTCATTCCTCAGCTTTAACAGCTCCTTTAATTCCACAGCTGATGCTGTTAAAAATGACAGATTTTCTTTTCTGGACCTCTGAGAGCAGAACTTCAACCTGTGAACTCGTGAAGTTCTTCTTTTTACTTTGTGCTGTCAGTTTTATGAATGGACACATGCTGGTATGTGGGGCAGGAAACGTAGCCTTATATGGTGTTTTTGGGGTGATAATATGTGACCCGTCACATCGAAACAAGGATTAAGTGTAAAAGTTGTACATGGAGAAAAAGGCAAATATAGTGTTTTGACTAAAATGTTAACAAAAATTACATTTTGTCAAAATATAATGAATAAAAGTCTTATCAATGTATCATTTGAATGAACTGTCTGAAATATAATCATAAAACAAAAGTTTGAAGCACTTTTTTGAGCAGTAGCAACAAAAAACTCATTTTGAGGAAAAACTCCTTAAAACGTTGAGATTTTCCCTGTGAGTTAGTAAAGTTTGTTTCTTTTTATCTGGTAAATCTCATTATTCAAATATAATCTGAGGTTTCCTCTTTATAAGGACATCAAAAATTCCTCATTAAAATGACATAAAATTAGGATTCAGACCAAATATTTATGTGTTATTGTAACCAACAAGACAAATTAAGTCATATATATGGATTTAATTATGATATCAGAATGATCCAGGTATCAAAATGTAGCTTTTAAAGACAAGAATCTGAAAATGTAATTAGGTCATTTTGGCCTAATTTGACTTAATCCTCATTTCGATATGATGGATCACATATATGGTAATTTTCTCTTCTTGTGCATGAACACCTGAATACATACAGGTGGCTTTTATCATGTTTACGCAGCTCATTTACTCACTTTTCCTGAAGGTAAAAGCGTTTGTTGAATCTGACATGTTGGTACGAGCCCTTCGAATGTAGAAAAGTAAGAGAAATTTAGAATAAGAATATGAAAATGTTCTTGCATGAGGCCCAGTGTCGTAGAAGGTGCTTGCTCACATTTCATCCCTGTTTTTATTTTAGCCGTTAAAATAAATTCTGGTGTTGGGACAGGGCGTGGCCCACCATCCCCAGAAACCACACCAGCAGCAGAGCTGACCTTTGATATAGTGCTGGGCGGTATGACCAAAATTTCATATCACGGTATTTTCAACATTTACACCAGTTTGACGGTATATCATGGTATTTTTCTTTTCATCATAGGTCAGCTGATAATAAAATGTTCAAACCCTGCTTATTAACTTTTACTGTAGCTCTGTCTCTGTTTCCCTCCTCTGTGTCTGTTCTTCTCTGACTGGTGGTTGCAGACAGTAGTCATCATTTTGGTCCAGTCGTGAAGGAGGAGGRTTAAGAAAAGATTATGATCGGGTTTATTGTTTTATGTTATTTATTAAAGCTTATCAGCACGACCCACCTTGCACACCAGTCAATCAATTCCACTACAAACTACTTCCCCTGGGCTTTTCACAATAGAAGCAGGTTAAGTCTCCATGCATCTCCACGTCTCCATATTAAAGTTGCACGTTAAATCTAACTGTGCACGTCACTGAAGAGGTGTTTACTAGATTCAGTGACGATGAAAACGGGATGTTTTTTTTTAATGTCGGCCAATATGAGCAGCGGAATCACCACCCGCCGCTGCAGCTACTCCAACAATAACATTAGCATGCTAACGCACATAGCGGTGCAGCGAGGAAAAGTGTCCCCTGGGAAACAGTTCACTGGCGGCCGCGACGAAACGTTCCACACATGTTCAGGCTAATTAAACCGGTATGTCGGTGTTCAGAAAATTCATATCATAACAAAATAAAAAATGGTATTTAATACGAACCGGTATACCACCCAGCACTACTTTGATATAAATAAAGGGAGGCCTGTTTTATAAGTCCCACCCATAGAAGCTGCCCCTTCAAACATGCCGCATCATTCCACCGTAGAAGATGCAACATAATCTAGACAGTTTTGTAGTTCGATATGGACTTGTTTGTGCTCTGCTGAACTGTGGGACTCAGCAGTCTGCACAGGTAGAGGAAGCCATCCCCAGAAAAGCTGCAGTGGTCAGAAAGGTAACTGTTGAGAAGTCAGCAGTTCGGACCTGTCCAACACTTTGTCTAAAAGCCCTTCTCAATATAAGTGTTTCATAATCGACAGGCATTGAAAAATGAGCATGTTGTTGTAAAGGACATCACGTGTTTGGAGCTACTTCTATGGTTTGATTCAGTGACAGCAGCTTTACTTCTTTATCAGTCATTTCTCAAATCCCCTCAACATGTGGTGGTCTGTTAAAGGCCTTTCTGTTCAACTTAAAACAGCAGTATTCAGAAACACAATCAAACAGTAACAATGTCCACACGATACCTTGCATCCCTTTAAGCATCATAAGTTCTGCAGTTAGGAAGTGTTGCAAGAAGAATTCTGTTTTACTTCTGCTTTTGAAGCTGTTTAGCTGAAGTTGAGAAAGATTTTCACTTCATCTTTTTGAAAACAGAAAATAATTTTCTTCCAGCTGTTCTGCTGGTTTATAAAGTACACATGTTTGCTAATACTTTCATCATCAACATTTAAGATGAAATGTTAATCCAGATGTTAATCACATTTTAACAAAATGACGTTATTGGTAGATCTTTGACCTAAAATGATGCTTGTTTGCCTCTGTGTTAAAAATAACTTAATATTTTTCAGATACACTATCTTATTCAACAATCATAAAATAAGATAAGATAAGACAAGATAAGATAAAACTTTATTGATCCCACAGTGGGGAAATTTGAACATTACAGCTACTCAGAACAGTGGAGTTGCAGTAACAGGCTGCCTGCCGTGGCGCTAACTTAGAAACAAAGAAAAACTGAAAATCAAACAAGGGAAGATGAGGAAAAAAGCAGAAACATCATATTATATCAACAATGTGACACACTATGGTGTTTATGAATAAAACCTCTGCATAGGGCAGATTTATTAGCCAGAGGAGTAAGTGAGTTTAGGGGAGCCCGAAGAATCCAGTCCCCAGAACCAGCGCAGCCATAGTTCAGAATATTGATGGTACTGTTCATTCTGTGTGGCCCTCAGCCTGCTCTGGAAAACAGAATTAGACAGGTGAAAGGAGGGGGGAGGTGTGGGGCAGAGCCTTTGTCGACACATCCAGCCAGGAAGAATTTAGTCAACAGCTCAAGGTCGTTGTCGGGGAGATCCAGATTCTGTAATCAGTTGTTTTGGGAACAGAAGAGTCGGGCACACGACAACAATTTTCCATCTGCTTTACTGTCTGCTGGTGCATCTCAAGGTGGTGAATCCAATCAGACAAATGTGGACAAATTCCACCGAGCTGATCTATCAGCTTCTCCAAGATGAATTCCATCTGACCAGCAAAGTCCAGGGACCACAGCCGGCCCTCGACCCTCAATAGAACTGCTTGTAGACCGAGTCCAGCTCGCTCATGGCAACATGTCCGAGCGCTGATAGAATCCAGCCACCCATCCAGTTGGTCAGGCAGCCAGAAAATGAAAAGCCATCGACTCTGTTTTGTAGAACACCAGGAGACCACCAGGCCAATCTGTAGGATCCAGTGATCGGAGTCCAGATATATATCCAGAACAGAGAAGAACAGAGGTCCCACCTTTAAATGTCCTCCCATGAAAGATAAAACTTTGTTCCAAAAGTTTTATTGAGAGACCAGCTAACCAAGTCCATAAAAATAAAAATCCATGATTTCTTATTTTGGATGAAAATGTAGAGAGGCTCCAAGCAGCAAAGCAGAGAAGAGAAGGAAAAAGCGTCTTACTCCTTCAAGAGCGGAACAAAAAAAAATCCATTTGTTGTAAAACTTGTGTTTATGAAACACAGCTCTGAGTATAATTTGTAAGATCTTGTTAAAGCTGTTGTTGACATGTTGAGGCTTGTTCAGCCCTGATTTTAGCCTGTCTACTTTGTCACAAGTTGCTCCCTGATCTCAGTCCTGTTTGATGGTGGTAACATCTCTTCTTCCTTCAGCTGGAAGTGTCTGCTCCTGCCTCTCTGACGCCACCTGCTGACCCTCCAGAGGCAGTGTTCGACCTGATGGCTGCTGCAAACCTCCAGCCATCAGCCACACTGGAGCTGGATCCTACTGCAGAGCCAGAGGCAGAGGAAACTGAAGATGCTCCTGACTACAAACTGGATGCAAATATAAACCAAGTCCTCTCAGAAGAGCTTATTGAAAAGAAGCAGGAGGAAGAGGAGATTCCACTTAACGAGGTACTAATTAATCACTGTCTTAGATGATGCCTTTTAAGTGACTTCGGGATATTTTGTCCATTTTGAAACAGGTTCTATGGAGAAATACTGACATCATGTTCCCTGATGTAGATAGTTCTTTGAAAGACCTCAGTTTGGACAAATGTATTTAGCTTTGATAGGAGTGATGAGCTAAGAGCTAGGCTAAATGCAGCTAAAACCAAGGTGGATTTCTGTCATAAAAAATGACACCATTAGAAATGTGTGATCACAGCAGGTCTGGCAAATTTTATTTTTTCAACCTTTATTTTACCACCAAGTTAGTTGTTTCGACATCTTCAGAAAGACCCTTAAACAAATATTAGTTTTGTTTTAAAACTTGTGTGTGTTCTCCATTATTTGGTGAAATATCCAATCCAACTTTAATTGTAAAGCACTTTTTGCACCATATTAGACCAAAGTGCTGTACAGAATCAGCATTCCAACAAAGAAGGTTCTATAGAACTGGAGCTCAGAAACCAGGTGACCATGTGATCGGCTGGTGAAGCTAACGGCTAACGCTAAACGGTCAAGACTCTGGATTTATCATTACTGTACATGTTGACAACAGAGCAGAAAAAAGGACTGACGATGTAGAAATCATTAAAACTATTAATAATAATATTAATCCAATTATTATTAATATTTCATATTTTATATAATCTATCTAATGCTTTAAATAATGTCAGAAAAGTTGTTTGT